TTTTGTTTGTTTCAGTTAAAATGGAAGAAAACATGTTTTCAAAAACACATACCTATGACATCAAATCAAATTTTAGCAATATTGAGAACTAAGGTGCACCTGATCCAAGCCATGTTGTTGTTGTTAAGTGATGGTGTTAAGAGGGCAGAATCGCCTAAATATTTTAAGTTGCTTCAAATGCATGTGAAAACTGGACAATAAATTAAGGAAGACCATAGGAAAATCTAACCATTTGAATTACGGTGTGGGAGAAATATATTTCAAATACCATGAATAGCCAGAAGACAAACAAATCTTTTTTGGAAAAAGTGTAGCCAGAACGCTCCTTACAAGTGAGGATGGTGAGCCTTCATCTCTCATACTTTGGAAATGTTTTCAGGAGGGACCAGTCCCTGGAAAAGGACATCATACTTGGCAAAGGGGAGAGTCAGTGAAAAAGAAGAAGACCCCTAACAAGATGGATTGACACAGTGGTAACCTAGTAAGTTCAAACACAATAATCGTTAGGATGGGTCAGGACTGGCCAGTGTTTTGTTCTGTAATGCACAGGATCACAATGAGTTAGCACTGTAAATGAAAACAACAGGCATTTTTACTATGTAAGATCATGTCTCCAACACTCCTCTGTCAGTTTGCAGTTTGTCACATTGTGGTTGTGTCTGTGTTGCTGTGATGCTTGATGCTATGCCACTGGTACTTTAAATACGAGTAGGTTCATCCATGCTGGACAGGTTTCAGTAGAGTTTCATGACCAAGAAAGACTAGGAAGGAAAGGCAGACTATTTCTAAATGTTTAGCCACTGAAAATCCTTATTATGAATAGCAGTGGAACATTGTCTGATATAGTGCTGAAAGATGAACTCCTCAGGATGGAAGACATTCAAAATATGAATAAGAGAGAGCTGTCTCCTCAAAGTAGAGTTGACCCTAATGATGTTAACAGAACAAAGCTTTTGGGACTTTTGTTTGCTGATAGATCACAATTCAAAATGAGAAGAAACAGGTGCAAACATTCATTACTAAGTAGAAGGTGGAATGCACAATGTAGGAAACCAGAAAAAATTGAAAGTTGTTAAAAATGAAATGGAACACATAGGCTTGATACTGAGCAGAAATGGACTGGCATTGCCATTCTGAATCGGATAATCATATGGCTTACTAAACCAAGAATGACAAACTGAAAAGGAATGATATTACATTCACCTTCCAAAAAAGCATTTCAAGATCTATCTTGAAGTACAGTGCCATCTGTGATTGTATACTATCCATAAAACTACAGTGATGACGAAACTGAAGAGCTACCAGCTGCTCCTCAGAAACCTCGTACAGGGTTGCTATGGGTCAGAACTGACTCAACGGCACTTAGCAACAATAACAAACCAATTTCTTTAATCTGGAATTGATCAATCTTTCAACTGAGATGCATTAATAATATTTGGTGATTGTAATACTTACTGAGGAAGGATCAGTAGCTGAAAAATATGGCCTTGGTGACAGAACTGATGCTAGAGATTGCAGGATAGAATTTTGCAAGCCTTATTCATTGCAAATATCATTTTCCAACAAAACAAACAGCGACTATACACGTGGACCTATTGTTGTTAGATGCCGTTGACTATGTTCTGACTCATAGTAACCTGTATAGGGTTTCTGAGGAGCAGCTGGTGAGTTTAAAATGCAAACTGTGGTTAGCAGTCAAGTGCTTATCCTATAGCGTCACCAGATGAAATACACAGAACTCAAACTAACCTCACAGCTAGTGGAAAAAATGATGGAGTTGGAACCAACTCCATAGCACATCACCACCACCACCTGTAAATCTTTACAGGAGCAGGAAGCCTCATCAATGTTACCAGCCAAAACAAGGCTAGGGGCAGACTGTGAAACAGAACATCAATTGCTCATATGCAAGTTCAGGCTGAAGTTGAAGAAAATGAAAACTCCACGAAAGCCAAAATATGAGCTCAAGTATAGTGAACCTGAATTTACAGATCATCTCAAGAACAGATTTAATTCATTAGAAACTAATGACTAATGACCAGAAAGAGTTATGGCATGAAATTAAGAACATTATTCATAAAGAAAGAAAAAGCCACTAAAGAACAAGAAAGAAAGCAAAGATGAAAGTGTATGTTAGACGAATAGGAAGAAATGAAGTAAAAGAGCTAAATCAAAAATTTCAAAGAGCAGTTCAAGTAGATAAAGCCAAGCATTACGGTAAAAGATGGAAGATCTGGAATAGAAAGCTCAAATGGAAAAATACAGTCAGCACTTCTCAAGCTGAAAGAACTGAAGGAAAAATTCAAGCCTCAACTTGAAATACTGAAGGATTCTATGGGCAAGGAGTCCTGGTGTGGCATTGTAGGATAAGCACTAGACCACACGTCAGTTCAAACTGCAAGGTCAGTGGTTCAAATCCACCAGCTGCTCCTCAGAAACCCTATACTGGGTCTCATGAGTCAGAACAGACTCAATGGCACTTAATAGCAACAGTGCGCAAAATATTGAATAATTCAGGAAGCATCAAAAGAAGTTGGAAGGAATAAACAATGAAGTGTCACTGTATAAAAAAGAATTGTCCAATGGTCTATCATTTCACGAGGTACCATATGATGAAGAACTAATGGCATTAAAAGAAGTCCAAGCTGCACTGAAGGCATTAGAAAAAAACAAAGCTCTAGGAATCGATGGAAAACAAACTGAAATGTTTCAACAAATTAATGCAGTGCGTGGGAAGGCACTTACTCTTCCATACCAAGAGATCTGGAAAATAACTACCTGGCCAACAAATTGGAGGAGATCCATATTTGTGCTATTCCGAAGAAAGGTAGCCCAATGGAATGCAGAAATCATCAAATAATATCATGGTGGTGGTGGTGATGTGCTATGGAGTTAATTCCAACTCATAGTGACCCTGTATAGAGTATCTGAGGCTGTAAATCTTTACAGGAGCAGGAAGCCTCATCATTCTTTTGCAGAGCAGCTGGCAGTTTCAAAATGCTGACCTTGTGATTAGCAGTCCAACTTGTAATCACTATGTTACCAGATCATATGCAAGTAAAATTGTGAAGATAATTAAAAAATGGTTGATGGGGAACTTTCAGAAACTTAAGCCAGATTTAGAAGAGGATGTGAAACTAGGATATCACTGCTGACATCAGATGGATCTTGGCTAAAAATAGAAACTACCAAAAAAATGGTTACTTGTGCTTTATTGACTATGCTAAGGCATTGTGGCACTGTGGGTTAATGCGCCAGACTGCAAAGCTGTTTGAACTGCAAGGTCGGCAGTTCAAGCTCACCAGCAGCTCCTCGTAAACCCTATACAGTGTCGCTATGGGTCAGAACCAACTCGATGGCACTTAACAACAACAACAACAAAGGTATTCAACTATGTGGATCATAACAATCTATGGATAAAACTGCAAAGAATGGGAATACCAGAACATTTAATTGTGCTCATGAGGAACCTGTAAATAGACTAAGAGGCAGTTGCTTGAACAGAACAAGGGGATACTGAACAGTTTAAAATCAGGAAAGGTGTGCCCCTTAATGGTATACTTTCACCACATTTATTCAGTCTGTATAATAAGCAAATAGTCTGAGAAGCTGGATTATCTGAAGAAAAACGGGGCATCAAGATTGCCGAAAGACTCCTTAACAACCTGCAATATGCAGATGATAGAACTTTGCTTGCTGGAAGTGAACAGAACTTGAAATACTTACTGATGAAGATAAGATCAAAGACTATAGCCTTCGGTATGGATTTCACCTCAATATAAAGAAAATGAAAACCCTCCCAACCTGTCATGTTAAATGGAGAAAAGATTGCAGTTATCAAAGACTTCAATTTGCTTGGATCTACAATCAATATTCAAGGAAGTGGTGGTGGTGGTTATGTGCTATAGAGTCAGTTCTGACTCACAGCAACCCTGTATAGGGTTTCTGAGGCTGTAAATCTTTATGGGAGCAGAAAGCCTCATCTTTCTCCTGCAGAACCGCTGGTAGTTTTGAACCACTGACCTGGAGATTAGCAGCCCAACTTGTAATCACTATGCTCCCAGAGCTCCTTACTCAAGAAAGTAGCAGTCAAGAAATCAAATGACATATTGCATCAGGGAAATCTGCTGCAAAAGACCTTTCTAAAGTGTTCAAGAACAAAGCTGTCAGTTTGAAGATTACGGTGTACCTGACACAAGCCATAGTATTTTCAATAGCCTCTTATGCATGTGAAAACTGAGCAATGAATAAGGAAGACTGGAGAAGGATTGATACATTTGAGTTATGGTGTTGGACACGATTACTGAAAGTACCACAGACTGTCAGAAGAACAAACAAATCTGTGTTGGAAGACATATAGCCAGAATGCTCCTTAGAAGTGGGGATGGAGAGACTTCGTCTCTCTCATAATTTAGACATATTATCAGGAGACACCCGTCCCTGGAAAAGGTCATCATGATTGGAAAAACCCAAGGAGATGGATTGACAACAGCATCACAATGGGGTTCAAATATAACAATATATAACACTTTTTTTCACAGGTTCTATTTACAGGTTCCACATGAGCACAAAATATAACAATTGTGAGGATGGTTCAGGAGTGGGCATTGTTTTGTTCTGTTGTGCATAGAGTGGCTATGAGTATGAACTGACTTGATGACACATAACATGTTTGGCCAAATATTTATACTGTCTTAAAAAACATGAAAAGGGAAAGCATATAGGAACATTATATAAGAGTTTAAAAAAATTACTTTTGCTTTGACTATAATTTCAAAAACTTAAAGCTGAGAAAAGGAAAAGAGAATGAAAATGCCACAAAACTTATTTTAATGTTAAAATTGAAAAGATTATTAAAAAGGCATTCTTCATTTTCTTTATCTTCTTATTTTTCACTAAACACATACAACACACACAGAGAACTAGTATTTCTATCTGCAATCATGATTCAAAACAAATACTTACGACATAAGGTAAGGCAAATTCTTCACACATCTCTATGGCGATAGTGTCTGTTTTTGTAATTCCAACAACACTATCTACTAACAAGAATGTTCTCATTAAGCTGGAAGAATGGAGAAATGAAGATTAATGGCAAAATGAAAGATCCTCATCATTATCCCCTTTCCCTAACCCCCAATGGATTAAGAAATTCCCCTCTGGTTGATTCTCACACCAAAATTTAAAAACTTTTTTAGGCAAAAGGATTTCTTAATTCCCCAGGAAGTTCATGTAACAGTCTGAGAGCTCTCAGTGCTGATTATTTTCACAAACTAAATCCACTCAATTTATTTCAGTAAACATACGTTAAACATAAGACACTTATTAAACATAAATCCAGTCTTGGACTGGATATAACTATGAACGAACCCATTCTTATTCTAAGAGTTTAAATTCCAGTGGGAGAAAGAGACTTAAATCTAATTATGTTATCAATGAAATGTTTAACTTTCTTAATATTATTCTAAAGCTTCCTGACAAATGTATTACAGGAGCCAGGCCCATTGGTATTTTGCATTTTCTTAATGTAAATATTTCAACTTAGTTTCTCTGAAAATTGACATTCACCTACAAAACTATAACAAAATTAGTGTAAACACTTGTTTGCACTTCAAAAATTCAACATTATTTTCTATATATTGTGCAATTCTTGAAACACATGCCTGTCACTTGACAATAAAAGATGACATTTACATATGTGACATCAGACCAAGAGATATTTTAAGAATGAAAACATTTACAGAAACTTTATTTAAATCACATACCAAATTGACCAATTATTTTCATTTTCAAAATTAGCCAGCTCTGAGTTTGATTTTTAAAAAGTAAGCTCAAAACTATTCAATGAATTCTGCTGAAGCACTTCAGATAGCCTCAATTTATGAAAACAATTGAATTTAAGATTAAGTTTAACTAAAGGTAGAAACCGTGCAAGCTGAACATATTTTGGTCCTAAATTTTGTATTGCAGAGTATTATGAAAAGAATAAAATGGATATTCTCAAGAAAGTCATTAAAAAACTGAAGAGTTCATTATATATAGAATGCGCTACTGATGATCAAGTGCTTTAGGGTTTAATGTTTAACTATCATAAAACAAAATTTTCCTTACTTCCTTCGTTCTTTGAGATAGGCTTCTACCATGTCAACAAAATCTTCAGGTGCTCTATAGCCATAACCTGGCATATCCACCATTGTAAAATATTTTCCAACTTTGAAAAAGTTCATTTTCTTTGTGTGTCCCTGATAAAGTAAATAGAAAATCAAAAGGTGTCTTAACATAAGTCCTTTATAATTTGCATGGCTCAGAATGTTTTCTATCCAGACTATCAACAAATATTTATTAAAAGTCTAAGTTTTCTGTACAACAGCTATGGCAATGACTGTACAATGAAAGAAGACAAAAAGGAAGTGGGTGGATATAAATGCAGATACTATTTTCTTCCAATTCTTTTAAATAAAATCTGCATTACTTAGGAAGAAATTTAGGTTCCATATAAGAAACATTTAGGAAAAATACTGTGGAGTCTTCCTCTGCTGGTGAAAAAGTCAGTCTATTCTAAATGGTGTGAATGCATGAGTTAGTATTTCTGATGAATACTGTATCTCTTTGGAGTCCTGGTGTGGTGCTGTGGGTTAATGCGCCAGACTGCAAAGCCGTTTGAACTGCAAGGTCGGCAGTTCAAGCTCACCAGCTGTTCTTTGAAAACCCTGTACAGGGTCGCTATGGGTTGGAACTGACTCGACGGCACTTAACAACAACAACAACAACAACTTTTAAGACAAATAAATTATGACACACAGATTAAAATGCTTAGTATGCCAGAGGAGGCATACGGGTTTTCATAAATCCTATATCAAAAGTCCAATACAGTAAAATCTATGAAAGCCAGAAACCTATTAGAGAAAGTATTTTTCTCTCCCATATGTGACTGGTGGGTTTGAACCACTGATCTTATGGTTAGCAGCCAAGAGTTTAACCACTGCACCACCAGCGCTCCTTACAGAGTTGTTGTTATTGTTGAGTGCCATTGAGTTGGTTCTGACTCACAGTAACCCTGTATATAGTTTCCAAGGAGCACCTAGTAGGTTTGAACTGCTGACCTTGCAATTAACAGTCCAGTGTTTATCCTATAGTGCCACACCAGGACTTGTTAAGTGCCATCAGGTATAGGGTTTCTGAGAAGCAGCTGGTGAGTTTGAACCGCCAACCTTATGGGTCAAACTGACTTTGCTAGCAAGGTGTGAAAAGATTGTAGGAGAAACAAAGTAACTTTATACAAGGGAGAGAGTGGCAGTCTGCTTCTGTGAAGACTTACAGCCTTGGACACACTGAGGTAGTTCCGCTCTGCCCTATAGGGCTGCTATGAGTCACCATTCGCTTGACAGCAGTGGATTTGGTTTTTCATTTAGATTCTTTTCTATGCGCGTATGTATACAGATATTTTTCACTGACTGATTTTCAGAATAAGGCCTTTGCTTCTAGTTCATCTTAGTTTAGGAGCTCTGCTAAAATCTGTTCAGCATCTTAACAACATGTAAGCCTCCACTAGCAGACAGGTGGTCAGTGCACATAAGGTGCCCTGGCTGCGGATGGAACTTGGGTCTCCTACATGATGTTGTTAAGTGCCATCGAGTCACTTGCGACTTATAGTGACCCCCATAGCCAACCTTGCAGTTCAAACCAACCTTGCGGTCCAGTGATTTATCCTGCAGTGCCACACCAGGATTCTGGGTCTCCTGCATGGAAGGTGAGAATTCTACCACTGACCCACCACTGTTTACATAACATGACAATGGGACACTCTGTTTGGCAACTCTTTGGAAAACACTTGAACAAAGCCTGCTCCTCAAGCTCTTGGTAAGACTACTAAAATATATTCAGCTATTACCTTTTGTTTAGAAAAACTACTTCTCTAGGTACTTAAATTAATAATTACGATTTTTTCTACCGCTTTGTTGTTGTTAAGTACCGTCAGGTCGGATCCGACCCATAGCAACCCTGAACAGGGTTTCCGAGGCTGTAAATCTTTATGGGAGCATAAAGCCTCATCTTTTTCCCGCGAAGCAGCTGGTAGTTTCGAACTGCTAACCTTGCGGTTCGCAGCCCAATTCGTAACCACTATGCTACCAGAGCTCCTTGTACTGCTTACCATTTATTTACCTCTTAGTCAATTCAGAGATAATCTAGCTACATTTACAAACTTCAACATACCGGTTTTTTGGAGATTCTGACTTCAACCTCTGGGGACAGTGAAAATAAAGCCTTTATTAGGGAGGATTTTCCAACGTTGCTTCTGCCTATAAAACACACCTTATACAAGGAAAAAGAAGGTAAGTAAGTACTTGAGCATGTATATGTTATATGCTGTATTAACTACAAAACTCTATCAAGTCACGTGTAATCCTGTCTACCTGTGTAAAAAGTGGCTTATATTTAGTCAAACCTCAAATTCTAACATACAGCTAAAATGTATTACATGCACTATGTGTCAGCCACTGTTCTGAGCAGGCAGCATGTTATTTTCTTTTAACAAATCTACATGGTATGTATATTTATTATCCCCATGTTTACCAAAGAAAAAACCGAGAAGTTTAATAACTAGTCTTAAATTACAGTGATAGAAAATGGAGGACTTCGGATTTTTAAGACATTTATAGTTAGTTCTGTGCTTTTAATTATACTATACGAGCTCTGGTAGCGTAGTGGTTATGAGTCGGGCTGCCAACCTCAAATTCAGCAGTTTGAAACTACCAGCTGTTCCGTGGGAGAAAGATGAGGCTTTCTGCTCCCATAAAGATTTATAGCCTCTGAAACCCTGTGCAGGGTCACTATGAGTCGGAACCAACTCCACGGTATTTAACAACAACAACAACATATGACTAAAGAATATTTGCAACGTTTATTAAACATTCTGCATTTAAAAAGCTTTCTAAAGTAAAAGAGAGATGCATTTTAAATATCTGGCTCAAAAGCATATCTACATGTCTGGATGGCTAGCTGTATGCTGTCGAGTCAGTTCTGAGAGACCTGTATAGTTTCCAAGGCTGTAAATCTTTGTGGGAGCAGAAAGCCTCATCTTTCTCCCACAGAACACCTGGTGGACTCAAACTGCTAACCTTGAGGTTAGCAGCACAATGTATCAAATACTACGTTACCAAGGCTCCTTTACATGTCTAGTCCCAGAGTACATAATAAACAATTTAGAAGTTATTCCTTTTCCTTGACCTCTCTGTTCCAATTAAGTACAGCCGAGTCAGTTCTGACTCACAGCAACTCTGCATAGGGTTTCCAAGGAGCAGCGGGTGAGTTTGAACGTCTGATTTCACTATTCAAACCAACCCTGCAGTCCAGTGCTTATCCTACAGCACCACACCAGGACTACTTTTCTCCTTTGTTGTTATTGTTGTTAAATACTGTCGAGTCGATTCTGACCCATAGCGACCCTGTACAGGGTTTCCAAGTAGCAGCTGGTGAGCTTGAACCACCGAACTTGCAGTTCAAACGATTTTGCAGTCTAAAAAGCAACAAAACATTCCAGGCACTAGTCATTTACACACATATAGTTCTTATTTTTAATATTAGTACTGAAGGGGAAGAATACCCTTTGCAAAGTTGCTCATTCAAAAGAAAATGTGATTCAATACAATGTGTAAATTATCACGCAGTACAATTAATTTTACATGCAAGTAAAATTTAGCTGTTGTTGTTAAGTGCTGTCTAGTCATTTCTAACCCATAGTGACCCTGTACAGGGTTTCTGAGGCTCAGCTGGTGAGCTTGAACCACCAACCTTGTAGTTCAAACAGCTTTGCAGTCTGGCGCATTAACCCATAGTGCCACACAAACAGTTGCAGTAATATACAGGCGACTGTCAAAAATTCCAGCCAGATTCAGAAGATGACTTAGAATGAGGGATATCACTGCTGATGTCAGATGGATTTTGGTTGAAAGCAGGTAATACCAGAAATAGGTTTACCTGTATTTTATTGTCTATGCAAAGGCATTTAACTATATGCACCATACCAAATTATGGATGACACTGAAAAGATTGGGAATTCCAGGACACTGTAACTGTGATCATGTGGAACCTGTACACAAACCAAGAGGCAGTTGTTTAAATAGAACAAGGGGATACTGTATGGTTTAAAATGAAACGATGTGTGTCAGGTTTATATCCTTAATTCAATTGCTATGCTCAGCAGATAATCCAAGAAATTGAACTATATGAAGAACTTGAATCAGGATTGGAAAAAAGACTCAGTAACAACCTGTGATATGCAGATGACACAAGTTTGATTGCTGAAAGCAAAGAGAAGTTGAAGCACTTACTGATGAACATAAAAGACTAGTTTTCATTATAGATTATCCTCAACATAAAGAAAACAAAAATCATCACAACTGGACTAGAGAAGAGATTGAAGTTACAAAGGATTTCATTTAATTTGAATCCATAATCACTGCTCATGGGAGCAGCAGTCAAGAAATCAAATGACTTACTGCATTGTGAAAATCTTCTGCAAAAGACCTCTTTAAATGGCTAAAATTAAAAAATGTCACTTTGAGGGATATGGTGTGCCTGACCTAAGTCACAGTATTTTCAATTGCCTGATATATGTACGCATGGAGTCCTGGTGTGGTGTCAGACTGCAAAGTCGTTTGAACTGCAAGTCAGTGATTCAAGCTCACCAGCTGCTCCTTGGAAACCCTATACATGGTCGCTATGCGTCGGAATTGACTAGACGGCACTTAACAACAACAACTATATGTATACATAGGAGCTCGGTAGTTTAGTGGTTAGGAATCGGGCTGCTAACCTCAGAGTCAGCAGTTCGAAACTACCAGCTGTTCCGTGGGAGAAAGATGAGGCTTTTTGCTACTGTAAAGATTTATAAGCCTCAGAAACACTGTACAGGGTCACTATGAGCTGGAACCGACTTCACAGCACATAACAACAACAATATGTATGCATATGGATTCTTGGTGTGGCGCTGTGGGTTAATGCGCCATACTGCAAAGCCGTTTGAACTGCAAGGTCAGCAGTTCAAGCTCACCAGCTGCTCCTCAGAAACCCTATACAGGGGTCGCAATGGGTCGGAACCGACTCAACGGCATTTCACAACAACAACGATATGTATGCATAAGTTGGGCAATCAAAAAGGAAAACCAATCAAAGGAAAAATTGATGCCTTTAAATTATGGTACTGGTGAAGAATACTGAATAAGAATGAACAAATTTGTCTTGGATGTACAGAATAGAATGTTCCTTAGAAGTGAAGATGGTAAGACTTCATCTCACTTACTCTCCAGTCCCTGGAGAAGACATCATATTCAGTAAAGTAGAAGGTCAGTGAAAAAGAAGAAGAGCCTCAATGAGATGGACTAACACAGTGGCAGCAACAATGGACTCACATAGGAAAGACCGGATGATGACACAGGATGGGGCAGTATGTTGTTCTGTTGAACATAAAGTCACTATGAATTAGAACCAAGTTGACAGCACCTAACAAGAACACTGAAGGCAGGGCAGTACAAACAAACCATAGATTCTAAATGAGGCTAGTACTGCCCCCCTGGGGAGCATTCTGATAATTGGTGGGGCATTTATTATTATTCAGGGGAAGTTCTTCAAAATTCATTAATCTAAGTTCTGGATGAATTTTGAATGTCCTGCCAGAATAAATTTTACATTAAAAAAATAGGTAATAAAACAAAAAATTGGAAACAAGTCACACATCATCCAGTAATTTCAAAGTTTAAATTGTAAAGCAGTATTATCTCAAAATTACTCAGTAATACGGCAGAGGCTTTGAGTTCAGACTACTCAATTTACTATTGTCGCTGTCGCTGTAAGGTGCCCTCTATTCAATTCAGACTCATAGCAGCCCTATGCGTAAGAAGAGGAAACATCATGCCATCCTCACAGGTAATACAATGGCACTGTCGCTGCCATTGTGTCAATCCATCTCCTTGTAGGTCTTTCTCTTTTTCACTGACCTTCTACTTTACCAAGTAAGATGTCCTTCTCCAGAGGTTGGCCCCTCCTGACATGTCCAAAGTACGAGAGACGAAGCCATGCCATCCTTTCTTCTAAGGAACATTCTGGCTGTATTTCTTCCAAGACTGTTTGTTCTCTGGCAGTCCATGTATTCAATAATCTTCTCTAACACCGTAGTTCATATGCTTCAAGTCTTCTATGGTCTTCCTTATTCATCGTCCAACTTTCACATGCATATGAGGCAAGTGAAAGTAGCAAGTCTTGGATCAGGCGCACCTACTCCTCAAACTGAAATTTTTGCTTTTTAATAAACAAATCTTTTGCAGCAGATCTGCCCAAAGCAATATGCCATTTTTATCTCTTGGCTGCTGCTTCCATGAATATTTATTGTGTGTATACAGGCAAAATGAAGTTGACAGCTTCAATATTTTCTCCATTTATCATGATGTTATTTATTGGTCCAGTTGTGAGGATTTAAATTTTTTTATACTGAGGTGTGGTGCATTCCGAAGGTTGTAATTTTTGATATTCATCAGTTAGTGTTTCCAGTCCTCTTCACTTCCAGCAAGCAAGGCTGTGTCATCTGTATACTGTAGGTTGTTAACGAGTCTTCCTATAATCCTGATGCCACATTCTTCTTCATATAATCCAGCTTCACAGATTATTTGCTCAGCATACAGAATGAATAAGTACGGTGAAAGGATATAACCCTAACACACACTTTTCCTGATTTTAAACAATTCAGTATCCCCTTGTTCTGTTCTAATGACTGCCTCTTGGTCTATGTACAGGTTTCTCATGAGCATAATTAAGTGCTCTGAAATAGTCACTCTTTGTAATGCTTTCCATATGGTTTGCTATGATCCATGCAGTCAAATACCTTAACAAAGTCAATAAAGCACAAGTATTCTGTGCTTTCCACCAAGATTCAATTGACATCAGCAATGATACCCCATGTTCTACGTCCTCTTCTGAATCCAGCTCTCTGTCCATGTACTGCTACAACCATTTTTGGATTACCTTCAGCAGAATTGTACTTACATGTGATATTAATGATACTTTTTGATGTTTTCCACATTTTATTGAGTCACCTTTCTTAGGAATGGACAGAAATATGGATCTCTTCCAATTGGTTGGCCAGGTCTTACAAATTTCTTGGCATAGACAAGCATGTGCCTCCAGTGTTGCATCAGTTTGTTGAAACATTTCAACTTGTATTTTGATAATTCCTGAAGCCTTGTTTTTTGCCAATGTCTTCAGTACAGATTGGACTTCTTCCTTCATTACCATCAGTTCTTGATCATATGCTACCTTTT